AAATAAATAAATAACTGCCAGGGGAAAAAAAGTAAATAAGGAGTGAGCACCTGAGGTCTCACGTATCAATCTACCCAAGACCAAAGCTAGCAGGAGGTAGAGGCAAAAGCCAAAGGGATCTACTTACATCCAGACAAGTAGGCCACTGACATTAGAAGCTTAGCGCCAGGGGACAGAAACCCAGGCTCTGGCACTTGGGATACGGACCACGTACGACATCTGTTCCTACATCTAATTCAACGATGGGAGGAATTACTTTTTTAATAGTTGGTGGTGGGTTGGGGGTGGGAGGGAGATCTTTTGAGGCCAGTCTAAATGGGGAGATACTTGGTCTACGTTGTTCTCTTTCATAGGGATTGTGGGAGTCGCCAAAAATACTTCCCAAGATGCTTACTGGAAGGAGGCCCTGCATATCAAATAATCTCTCCCGAGCGTGCAGAGCTCCCTTTGAAGGCAGCTTCTGTTCCCCTTACTCGTGTGGAAAATACATCTCCCTCTCAGAGACTCCCAGTGTCACTGCCTGGACCTGGTGGCCAGAGGCAAGGGCTTGGATGAGGACCAGTAGGAGTTGCGGGCGCTGCAATCTGTGTCCCTTAAAACCACAGTCATGAATGAGCCGCACAAGTGGCCGACAGGTTCACTAGCAAGGGCAGAGTCAAGTAAGGAACGGGAGATGAGAAGTGAGCAACAGTGGCTGTCGTTTTTCTTTCTCCAACGTGGACTTAACTGGACCAAGCCTGCTCGTTCACGCTGCGTGCGACCCCAGAACAATGAAGGCAAAGCCCTGCAAAGGTGTTCTGGTCGCACCGGGCATGTGGTTCAAACCCGCCTCACACATGAGGTCCTGGGTTTGATTCCAGCCCTGCAAACTAAAACAAAGCAGAATAAACAAACAAAACTTATCAAAGGTCATTGATAGTATCTCTCTGGTCATGACTGGTGTTCGGAGGGAGAGGTCCCTGCGCCTTTACACCTCAGTCCCGGGGCCCAGGTTACTAATGACCCCTCTGGTGTCTGAGTCCCTGGCTTTCTGATGAAGCACTTCTCATACTCACAGTAAATGGCTCCCTGAGCCCAAGGTTCTTCATCTGCAAAAAAAATATAATACCAATCTCACTGGATCGCTAAGAAAATGAAATGAGACAGCACGTTAAGGAGTCTGACGGGGCTTGCCCACAGGGGATACTAATAATGTGAGTGTTCCTCCTTGCATAATTCACACACACGGAAGCTGACTCCCAGATCTCTACCTATGTGAGATCCAGAAGGCAGGGAAGCATTGTCCTGTATCTGGGGTCAGTCACAAGGCCCAACACAAAAGGCTGACAACTATGAGTGTGAGAGGCTAAGTGGAAGCTGTCAACGCTCTCCCAGGAGGACATCCTTTTTCACAGAGTCTAGTGAAACAAACAAAACTTAAAGACTGGCCCTGGACATTCTCTGCTGCCCACATCACAACCTGTGTACTCTCTCTCTCTCTCACATTTGTCCAAATAAAATGATTTTACTTTACAAAGAAAGGAAGAAAAAAGAAAGTATAAAGGAAGGAAGGAAGGAAGGAAGGAAGGAAGGAAGGAAGGCAGGCAGGCAGGCAGGCAGGTGAACCAACTTTGGGTTTCAATCTTACATTTAAATCTTTCCTTTTTTTAACTTTTTGGGTCACACCCGGCATTGTATAGGAGTTACTCCTAGCTCATACACTCAGAAATTATTCCTGGCGATGCTCGGGAGACCACAGGGATGCTGGGAATTGAACCCGGGTTGGCTGCGTGCAAGGCATACACTATCCACTGTGCTATCACTCCAGCCCCTATATTTAAATCCTGGCGCCACCAGACACCTTATACAACTGTGGGTAGTAAGTTAACTCCAAATTTAAATTATTTGGGGAAAAAAGAGAGAGCTACTTTGATAGGTTCTGTAGCTTTTTCTGATTGCTTGTTTGCTAATTTGAAAGTACAGGACATTTTGAAACATTTTGTAACTTTTTTTTTAAGCAAAATAGATTTTATTGAACAAAACTCGCTCAGGAAGATATGAGGAGAGAGAGGGAAAATATGTGTTCAAGAGAGAACACAGTGTTCTCCAGAGTGTAAATAAGCAAGCAAAGAAACACAGAAACAAGCAATTAAGGTGTCGGAACAAGGGCGGGAAGACCACATTTAATTAATCCTGGGCCGGGACAGCCACTTAACATTTCCCCTCTCCATTATCTTTGGCTTCCAGGAAGTACCAAGGAAGAGCACCCAGACAATCTGAGAAACACACTGGGTAAAGACACTGAGTTCAGCAGGAATCACTGAGACTAACTCAGCTTCATCCACAAGAAGAGTTTCCGAGGTCTGAAAACTCACGCGTACGCTCATGCTTCGAAGTCTACTGTGAGTCCCGAGAGCCACAGATCACAAAAGCACCTACGGCAGCAAAGGATTCAAAGCTCAGAAGCAGAGAAAAGGCAGCTCAAGGAATACCAAGGGCACCCGAGCAAGCCCTACCAGGGCACAGGAAAACACGCACAAGGCAGTGTGTGGAACCATTCCTCAACTATGTGACAGTGACATCTACAGGAGGAAAGTGACTAAAAATACAGGGAAAGGGTCATCCCAGAACAGACTAAGCCATGTGAGTCTGAGGCCTAGACGAAGCTACATCCTAGAGACAAGAGGGGGAAAAAAAATCATGAAAAGTTTAGGGGGGAAAACTTGCTAAGATTTACCTGTTGATGAAGACTAGATGAGGCTGAAAGTCCTTAGAAGGATTCAAGATTAAAAAAAAAAAAAAAACACGGAAACCCAAAACCAGTGTGCTGTGAAGCTGGCTAGACAGTGAAGAAGTGACAGCAGGAAAGCCAACCCTTTCAAAGCTGCTCTCTGCATTTACAGCCTGTCCCTAGGGTTTCCTTCCTTGCAACGGTCTAGAATACAAATACCAGAAATCCGGCTTGCATGCCAACACTCCACGCTGGTTTAGGGGCAGAGAGTAAGACTCCTACAAGGTTCCAAATGCGGTCTGGAGGACTCTTGTCCTTACGGGTTTCCGGGCTACCATGGCAAGCGGTCTCGAATCACACCCAATCTGTATTCACACCCAATGGGAAGACCTCTAACCTGCAACTCCTGGGCCAGACCCACATTATTCATATACTTGCAACAAAGCACTTAATAAGTCTGGACAAAAGTCTTAAAGAGAAAACTACTCAAAGACTATGAAGTGAGAAGGGTAAAACACCGAAGTCAGAATTGATTACTGTTGAGGGGAAAGGGGACAAAAAGAAAGGAGACCCCCCAAAAAAAATCTTTTTAATTTACACATGGCCAACATGGCCGACCAGAGTTCGATTCCTCTGCCCCTCTCGGAGAGCCCGGCAAGCTACCGAGAGTATTCGATATGCCAGACACAGTAACAACAAAGTCTCCAATGGAGACGTTACTGGGCCCGCTCGAGCAAATCAACGATCAACAGGAGGGCCTTTACCTATTTAGAAATCACTGACTTATCTATCGAAATGCTTAAACAGAACAACAGTCATTTATTACTCTGATCAGTGACAGGAGAGTCTTTACTGAGACCAGGAAGAAAGGCAAGACCAAGAAACTTCAGAAAGACAATAACAACAAAAAAATTCTTGGGGATTTTGTTTTGTTGTGGTGGTTCCTGGGATTGGATCCAGGGCTGCATACATAAAAGACAAGAGCTCCCTCACCAACTGACATTCCCAGCCCTGTAAATCTTTACCTTAAACTTTCTTTACACAGGTTTTTTTTTAATGGTATATTCAATCTTAATACTGAAAGCTCTAGCCAGAGATGAAAAGGAAATAAAGGGAATCCAAACTGGAAAGCTGTTTACAAATGATAGGATCTTATATAATTCTAAAGAATACACATACACACACTAAGCTAATAAACTAAACTAATAAAAAAGATCATGACCTTAAATCTGGCAATGGCAAAAACAAAAACTGGACATTTCTCTAATATGTGGAAATTTAAAACAAAAAACACTTTCATTGGGGCCAGAGTAACAATAGAGTGGACAGAGCTGACCTAGGTTTGATCCAAGTACCTTAAATGGTCCCCTGAGCCTGTCAGGTGTAATCTCTGAGCACAGGGTCGGGAATAAGCCCCCACTCGGTGCGCCTTCCACTCCACCCCTACCCCTCCACCCCCCCCAAAAAAAAAACCATGTATCTGAGACCAGAAAGATGGTGCAGTGGGTTGGGTGCTTGCCTTTCAAGCAGCTGATCTGGGTTCAATCCCAGGCACCACAAAGCACCCCAAGGGCTGGAGCAATAGTACAGCGGGTAGGGCGTTTGCCTTGCACGCAGCCAACCCAGGTTCAATTCCCAGCATCCCATATGGTCCCCCGAGCACCACTAGGAGTATTTCCTGAGTGCAGAGCTGGGTATGACCCAGAAAAAAAAAAAAAGAAGAACACAAAGCATCCCATTGGGCACAGCCAGGGGTAGCCAAAAAACAAAACAAGGAAACAATTTAAAAAAAAAAAAATAGACATTTCTTATTAACCAATGTGTCAAGTAATAAGCCAAAAGGGAAAATACTATTTTAACCCGTGAAAATCAGAATACAATATATCAAAATTTATGATGCAAAAGCAGTCCCAGGAGGACGGTTTCTAAAGTCCACCAACATTAAGGAAAAAGATCTCAAATAAATAACTTAACAACTGCTTAACAGTTACAGGATTTCCTTTTGGAGAACAAGATGAAAATCATGGGTGCACAACACGGTGCACGTAACTAAATATCAATTTAAAATGGGTTAATGGTAAATTTGTTTGATTTGAAAATGCAAAACAAAACTGGGTAAGGCATGGTCGAACAACCTAAAATATTTTAAACCTCTGCTTTCTTTTCAGAAAATACCAGGGTTTTTGTTTGTTTAACGGTTTAAAGCCATTTCGTGACTGCACTTAAAAAAATAAATAAGCCATTCTCCAACTATTTCAGAGTAATATTAATAGAATGTCCTATTTCTTACCAGAAGGCTCTTTTCCATTCTGTTTCTCATAGAGGGTGCCCACAGACATCAGGAAAACAATAACCAGGAATACTGGAATTCTCCATGAGCCAGCCAAGGATGCTGCAAATTATTAAAAGTTATTAATTATATTTTTGGCAAAACTAAAACGCAGCACTTGTCTATAAAAGATTGCTTAGTTGCTTAACAGAAAAAAATCGGCATACTAATAATAATGTTAATAACAAATTTCATCGGGAAAATTAAACGATTTTTGTGTCTAATTTTAAATCTTAATTAAATCTCATAATTAAAAAACAGCAAAGCCATCAGAAAAATGAAAGCACAGTGGAGGGATCCAATAAGTTCAGCTCAGTTTCGGGACATCCCTGCCTCCACGGGATTGGGTATATGTCACCCTACCTTCGATGGACTTCTATCACCAGGAGAATCAAAAATCAAGAATCTTCTAATTAGCTTAATAATTTTGTTTGTTCGGGGGCCATACCCGGTGTTGCTCAGGGACTGCTCCTAGCTCAGTGCTCAGGAATCATTTCTGTTGGTGCTCAAGTGACCAGGCGATGCCGGGGATTGAACCCGGGCCTCTAACATGGCACATGTCCTGCCCATTGTGCTCTCTCCCCAGTTTCCAATCTCACCCACCTGACACCTGAAAGACCTGTATCGGGCATGCAAGCCAAAGTCATGAGGCCTGACTTGGTTTCCTAAAAACACAACTGGGTGTTAACTCAATTTTTCAAGTAAGGGCTGACGGAGCAACCCAAAGGGGCTTGGCAAAAAAAAAAAAAAAAAAAAAAAACCACTTCAATGCATCCTCCTTAATGTATAATGTGAAAATTCTCACAAGTAGCCAAGAACCAGTCCCTCCCTACAGCCATCTGTATTTTCCTTAACAACCTACCTGTCTTCCCCCTCCTCTGCCTTCCTTGAACTCAAAGTGAGTCCCCAAGTACAGGAGACTTTTGGGGGTCTTGCTGGTGAATTCCTTTAGCATTCTAAACCAGCAGATCTAAAACCCAACATCACACCTCTATGCAGAGATACAGCATCAATGAACGCTACTTCATATTTTTAACAATATGTACCTCTACACACTACTTTAAAAAGAGTAACTCTAGGTTATTGAATTTTGGGTTTTTTAATTGCCACTGAATGCTTCCATAGACTCAAGATTGGGAGATAAAAGAACCCCTGGAAAATCGTCCGGTGCCATCCTAGCAACCACTCCAGGATCATTTACAGCTCAAAGAACAGGGAAGTCATTATTTTGAGCAGCTGAAACTTGGCATCCTTATGCTGAGCAGAGAGCTGTCTCGGGAACTACTCATTGCTCTGACAGCTCTCCCTCAGGGTCACCGATGTTCAAGTCCTCCTTTCACAGGACAGTCCCTCGATTACTTGAAACTGGTGCCCCCCCCCCCACCGCCTCTTACGCTCTCCTTCCCGGTACCCTCCTCTCTGCCCCTCTAGCTGCAAGCCTCTTCTCTTCGCCTCAGTAAACATCTCTAGTGCCTAATCCGTTTCTCACCGGACTTTAAGGACTTCTGGTCACCCTGACTACTTCTCTCTGTATCCTCCCCCCTCCTCAAGTGGAACACTCAGGAACCACCCGACCTCTGAGTGTGCTCTACAAATCTGCTGTCCCTGTGGGAACCCGTCCCGACAGCGCGAGGGGGCAGGGGACCCGTACAGGAGGCACGTGCACTACAGGCTCAAGTCCCTGGCCCTCAGGATGACTTTTTTCAGGTTTCTTTTTTGAAAAGGCATATTCAGCATAAATTAAGAGAGAAAGAGATATGTTAAAGCATCATCATCTCACTGAAGATTAATGAAAGATTAAAGCAGAACAGGTGTTGAAAATTACTTTACATCTTATTTTTAAAATGCAACAAGCAATACTTTCATTTACATGGTCAGGCTCTGCTGGCCTTAAGCTAGACTTTCTTAGAAAAAGGGACCCACCTAAATGAAAAAGCAATATTATCCAGACAGGAATGGAAACGGCTCTCAAGTAGCGTTCAGTGCTTGTATTCCACTTGAATAAAACAGCCAGCACATAGCCAACTACCAAGGTCCAGATCTTAAATAAATGAAATATAGACACAATGTAAAATATATGCACAGGGGAGAAGAAACACACAATTAGACAAAATCTGCAAGCATTTCTACAGCAGGAGAGCTCTGGATACAACAGAGATTAAGATGAAGGTCGGTGGTACTAAATGAGTATTAGATTTTCATACTGGCTCTAGATAAATCAAGGCTTGAAATAAATACGATTCCCAATGCCATCTAGTGATATTATCTAAAGGGTTTTAACAAAAGATTACGTATGCGCAATTTAAAGTTATGTCACAGTTCAAAGATCTATGAACTCATAAATCGTTAAGAGAAAATATTCTATTTATAAGTCAGAGTCTTAAATTCAGAGCTTAATCTGCGGCATTTTTAAAAGTCTTCTCTGTAAGTTAACACTTAGGAAAAATACTGGGGGTGGGGGAGGGATGGGAAGAAAGACAAGGAAAAAACAGGGAAAGACAATAAAAAGGGACTCTTTCTAAAAATCAAGCTAAGATTTCATCTGAAATATGCTTGGTTACCATGGAAAAAAATTTTTTTAGAAGCTAGAAAAAAGGGCATCACTGAAAGTGGGTCTTGCTGAAATAACATCGGTAACAGATGGCTAAAGATGTTCAGAGTTACAGGTGCAGTTAAAAAAACAGCCAGTAGAAAAGTATCAAGGAAGAAACACCAAGACTTAAGAATAAATCCTCATTTCGGTTCTCCTTACTTACATGAAAACCAAGTCACTCTAGCAAGTAGTTCGCATCAACAATGGCCAGTGCAGCCTACACGGAACTCTCTAATGAGCTCAAATTTGGAGGTGAGGCGGGGTGGAGTTTGTGCCTGCAAGGCGACCCCTGCCTGCAAGTCAGTGCTGTAACTTCTCACGTCTTACCTCTCCGGCTCCTGCCTCATACTTCAATAAACTGTTTACAAAACACGGAAAGAATGCAAAATCCAGGGCAAATTTGAACACTAAGGACATAATAAGATAACTGCAACTCTGAAAATAACGGCAAACTAGAATTTTAAGCTGTGATCTGGAGAGTGAAAAGCTTATATGATTACTCCAAAAGACAACACAAAAAAAAAAAAAACAAAAAACAGAAAGAAAAAGAAAAACCTCCAACTATAAGAACAACTGGTGGTTACCATAAGGGAAGGGGAAAGAGAGGTGGGAAAAGGCACCAAGGTTGACAGAGAGAATAGGGCTTTCTGTTAAGCCACCTTAACATTGCAGGAGCACAGGCTAATTTTCAAGGAGGCTCACCAGAAATTTGTATTACGCCATAATGCAATGTTGCTGTGGCTTTAAAAAAAAAAAAGAGAATAACACCCCCTCCTTTTATTTTGGTTACATCTATCAGCAAAGATGATCTTGGGAACTGGAGAGACAGCTCGACAGGCTGGAGCACATGCTTTGCGTTCTGGAAGCCCAGGTTCAGGCCCCTCCCCCTCCCTCCCCTCTCCCCCACACACTCAACTCCACCTCCCCTAGCACATGGCCAGGATTAACCCAGAGCACTTCTGGGACTGGCCCCCCAAGATAACTGACCAACCTTCCAGCCCCAACGATGACTATAGGTTTTTTTTTTTTTTTTGCTTTTTGGGTCACACCCAGCGATGCTCAGGGGTTACTCCTGACTCTGCACTCAGGAATTACTCCTGGCGGTACTCAGGGGACCATATGGGATGCTGGGAATTGAACTTGGGTCAGCCATGTGCAAGGCAAACAACCTACACTACACACTGTGCTATCACTCCAGCTCCTTGATTCCCCTTTGACACTAACCTGCCTTCACCTCCTTCTTGTCCTCTAAGCCCCTTTAAAAAAATACATATATATCTATATATATATATATTTTGCTTTTTGGGTCACACCGGCGACGCTCAGGGGTTACTCCTGACTCTGCACTCAGGAATTACTCCTGGCGGTACTCAGGGGACCATATGGGATGCTGGGAATCGAACCCGGGTCGGCCGCGTGCAAAGCAAACCACCCTAACTGCTGTACTATCACTCCAGCCCCTGACTATAGCTTCTGCCCTCAGAATTCTGCTTTGAAGCCTGACTAAAGAAAGACAGACTCTGAAAGAGACATGTAATTCTAAAGAAGCGCCTCAGAGTGGAGTTTAGAAGACCAAAAAGTTAGCAGCCTGAAAGTTTTTAAAAATGGGAAGTAATTTAATTAGAATGGAGTAACAACAAGTCTCGAGACGTTACTGGTACCTGCTCGAGCAAATCGATGAACAACAGGAAGACAGTGCAGTGCAGGACTCACTCAATAAAACTTGTTTTTTTTTTCTTTTTGGGTCACACCCAGCCAGGCACAGGGCTTACTCTTGGCTCTGCACTCAGGAATTACTCCTGGCTGTGCTCGGAGCACCATATGGGATGCTGGGGATTGAACCCCTGTAAGGCAAACGTCCTACCCACTGTGCTATGGCTCCAGCCCTCTCATTCAATAAAACATTAAGCCACCATAAAAAGGGTCTTTTTTAAGGAGCCGGGGAGCTAGCTGAGTGGGTAGGGTGCTTAATCCTCAGCACCAAACATATGGTCTCCCTAGGTTGCAGAGTCTGGATTAAGCACTGAGAACAGTCAAATGTGACCCCAAAACAAACAAAAGAAAATTGTCTTTTATTTATCTATTTATTTATTTATTGCTTTTTGGGTCACACCCGGCAATGCACAGGGGTTACTCCTGGTTCTGCACTCAGGAATCACCCCTGGTGGTGCTCAGGGGACCATATGGGATGCTGGGAATTGAACCCAGGTCGGCCGCGTGCAAGGCAAACGCCCTACCCGCTGTGCTATCACTCCAGCCCAAGAAAATGGTCTTTTAAAAGAATATTGCACTTATTAATTTTTTTTATATTGTAAGTGGAAATTTTTGCTTCGTTTCATTTTTGTAGCATTGGGATCAAACCCAGAGCCACGCACACACAAGGCAAGTGCTCTAATGCTTAGCTTACATCCCTGGCCTCTTAAAATGTTTTTTTTTTTTTCAAAAAGCGGTATAAATTTTAAGAGACCCCTAACATTTATAACATAAAAAAGCAAAAAAAACTTTAATGTCATCTACAGGGTAGAGAGAAAAGGATATGTAATAACAGTACAGTGAGTAGTTGTACCGGGTGGTGGTGGCAAGATTTTCTCTTTCTACTTTTTCTCCTGCATTAAAAAAAAAGAAAGTCTTTAATGAGAACTAATTCTTTAATGATGAAAAGAATATAATAAAATAATCTTCGAACATATATACTTAAACAGATTTTTTTTCTTTTTGGTCACACCTGGTGATGCTCAGGGGTTCCTCCTGGCTCTGCACTCAGAATTATTCCTGGTAGTACTCGGGGACCATATGGGATGCCGGTTATCAAACCCAGGTCAGCCCCATGCAAGGCAGACGCCCTACCCACTCTACTACCGCTCTGGCCCCTCAACAGAGTATAAGGCCCATGCGGGGGTATTAGAAAAGTGAGACTAGGTTTCACGTCAAAGCAGCTCATGTGACGTGAGACTAACATCAAAGCAGTTCATGCTGGCAGGACCACACAAATTTAACCACGGGAATTCAGTGATGTTAGGTAGAAGTAAAGCTCAGGAAAAAATCCGAGTATTATAATGATAGACTTATTTGGGAGAGGAGGGGGAAGGGAAAGCACACTCGGCTGAACTCGGGGCTTACCCCCGGCTCTGTGCTCAGGGATCACTCCCAGTGAGCGCAGGGGGCCATACAGAACACAGGGGACTGAACCTAGGCTGACTGCACGAAGACAAGGACTTTACCAGCTGTACTATCTTATCTCTCTGGCCCTAATAATACAGTTATAACACACTATGGATTCAGGCTCTGCTCTAACAGTTTACAAAACGAACTCGTTTCATCCCCATAATCCTAGGGAATATGTACTACCATCATCTCGATTTTACGGATTAAAAAAACTGGACCTGGGACTGAAGAGATAGTATGGCAGGTAGGGCACTTGCGTGGGTCCAGCCTAGGTTCAATCCCTGGCACCACATAAGGTTCCCAAAGCCCTGCCAGGCGAGATCCCTGAGAATCAGCAGGAGTGCTCAAAAATAAATAATAAATTTTTTAAAACTCGAGACTGGGGCCGGAGAGATAATACGACAGGTAGGTGCTGACCTGGGTTTGATCTCCAGAATCCTGACCATACCAGGAGTAATCCTTGAGTGCAGAACCAGGTAAGCCCTGAGTACCATCAGGTACGACCAAACACCAAAATAATAAATAAAATAGAAGTAATAACTTAGGTCTTTTTTTCTATATTTTGAAGCTTTTCTTCACCAAAAAAGAGTCTTAGGTATAACAATATTAATTCTGAAGAATGGACATTTATTTAAAAAAAAAAAACACCTTAATATTACTATCATACCACTATGACTATATTACTGCCAAAATTTGTCATTTTTATTCAATTATCCTAATAAAAATTCATAAATCAAATGTTCAGGTAGGAGCATTTTCTAAAAGGCACTCAGAGGAATGTAAAATTATTTTTATACAGTACAATTAAAAACAAAAAAAGAAACAGGCTGGAGCGATAGTATAGCAGATAAGGCGCATGACACTGACCTGGGATCACATAAGGTTGCCTGAGCCCCACAAGGAGTGATTCTTTTTTTTTTTTCCCTTTATTTTATTTTATTTTATTTTAAAGTTGTAGATTTACAATTTTTTGTGCTTTGGTTTCAATTATACAATGATCAGATACCCATCCCTCCACCAGTGCCCATTTTCCACCACCATGGATAATATCCCTCCCACCCCCATCCCCCCATCCCCCCAGTCTCTGTGGCAGGGCAATCCCCTGTGTTCTCTCTCAAGGAGTGATTCTTGAGCACAGAGCCAAGAGTAAGTCCTCAGCACCATTGGGTAACCCCCCCCCCCCCCAGCACACACACACACACAAAAAAAAAAAAAGGAAAAAGAGACATCTGAGGTGCTAGCTAGGAAAGAAGCTCTTAAACTCGAGTAAGCTGTAGAATTCT